ACAGTACATTCAGCATCTGCCTCACATTCACGATCTCAACCATATTCTCAAAACTATGGTTTTCAATGACTTCATATCCAATATTTTGATCACTGGCAGCTTATTCACCACATCCAGCATCAAATGACAGTGACATTTATATTTCATTGCGTATAGTAATTGCTCTGCAGTAAAGCCATTCAAATCACTTCAGTTTTTGCTGATGATATTCGTTTGTTTTATGCCTGCGGTAATTATGAGTGAAACGTCACGTCATCATTGTGTATCAAACAGTGCCACCTTGAGGAAAAAAGATGCACTGCACGTATTGAGTCATCAGATATGTAAATATAGTTGCGCAGGAAAAAATACTTACACATTTACATACCTCGGGTCTCTAGCGACCCTATATACTTTTTATATATCAGAAAACTGCCATTCTTTTATATTTTACTATTTTTTTCTTGTTATATTGTTTATAATTAATAGATTGAGGAATACTAAGAAAGTTGATGTGTAACTTAAAAAAATGAAGGATGGAGAGGGTAGAGAATGATGTACCGGGTCGCTAAAGACCCGAGGTATGCATTTAAGGGTTAAAAGCTTTTTGTGCATACAGAAGATCCGTAAAGTCGCAAAGATTAAAGTCTCAAACCCAAAGAGATATTCTTTATAAAAGTGAATTGGCCTTCTAGAACACAACTAGAAGTCAGTGGTTAATTTTTATTTACAACACAGTTCCAGAACAGTACAACCCAAATATTCAAGTGTTTGCAGTGCATTTTACGGAGGAAAGTTTCCTGAACCTGGTAAGGGGCGTAACATTTCCGTTACACGCTTGAGGTATTTGGCCAATCACAACGCACTGGATAGCTGGCCAATCAAAGCACACTGTGCTTTTCAGAACAATGAGCTTTGTAAAAATCGTCGTGTTTCAGAAAGGCGGGGCATAGAGGAGGAACAATAATGTACAGTATGTGGAAAATAACGTTTTTTTTTTACTTTAAACCGCATAAACGCATTGCATTACACCAAATACACCAAATAATGCAACATCATATGACCCCTTTAATGAAACAGTCAAAATAACTCTATCACACTATCACAAAATAACTCTGAATCCCTGAATCAGTCAGTTAGTTGGTGACACTTGACTCTTGTGACTAATATTGTTTGGATCAGTTTTTTTGTACTTTGAAATTTGGTACTCTGAAGAATTGAATTGTGGAAACCACAATGTAATTGTATAAATGGAAGTGTAATCTGAATCAGAATCATTAAATTCAATTCAATTTGATTTCCATCCCTAAAAGCTAAAGATTTCTTTCCATTTCCAAATTAAGCCTGTCCTTGACTTGCTCTTTTGCATTTTTTTCCCCTCTCTCTTTTGCTCATATTCATTCTTCTTCTACTGTCACTATTCTTCTCTCTTCTGTTTTCTCTTTCCAACTGCCATCTTCTCCTTTGCTTTCTCTCAATCTCTTTCAAATTCTAGCCTCAGTTGTTGGAGAAGCTTGTTGAGGAGATCCAAAATCTGAAGGCCACCGTTCTCTCTCAGGAGAAACGAATCTGTGACTTAGAGAATAAGCTCTCTAAGTACACTAATGGCACAGTCTGAATAAAGCTAACTCATCCTATGCACACTGCCCAATTCACTGCTAACCCCTCACAACTAAAGTATGAGCACAGATAGGCCAAGCCACCTCAACTCACACCAGCTATTATCAACATGTAACTCCGGTTCAACTGGCTGTACCGCCAATTGACTTCACAGGCTTTTTCTAAATGTGAATAAATCATACAGTAGTTCCATTTTGGAGAATTAGGAGATTTAATTTGGCAAAGGCACTTATAATGCTCGTCCTGATGCTTTGTAGAAAAATTGTTAATATTGTGTAGTAGTACACACTATTAGCTGTATTCCTTAAATGCTTAAGGAATCATATCAGGAAGAATTTATGTCAGCTATTCAAAAGGTAGGCAAAACCACCTTCATTTTAGGATTTACAAATCCTTTAATGTACTTACTGCTTTTTAACCTTAAATGCTGTCAAATAATGACAGAAGAAATGTAGCTGCAGCTTTCTGTAGTGGTTAACAGTCTTTGGTAGTCTCTGTGTGAACATACCTCATTGGAAAGACCAGGACTTGGGATCAGATGGTAGCATATGTAGCCCTTATTTGGTCAGCTCTGGACAAGCAACATCTATGGCATGACTATGATATGTCAGGACAGTAGTGAGCTCAGTAATGCCGCCAATACACTACACAATTTTCATCGGATTGCTGTTCTTTTCACACTACACTAACTTTTTTGGGTATCACGAAGTTGCTGTGGTTTACACATAACAACGGATCAGTGACTGTGGGTCACACATCACACAATCTCACTAGGAAGAATCCACAACAAAAAAAGATGACTTCTCGATATTTCCCTTGCGCTATAGCTTGTTCTCTTATTGGCTGTAAGTCGTCGCCAATGTGTTTTTTTTAACCTGCTAATTACTTCTCGGGCATCAGTGCTATTCTCAGATTGTGTCTTTCTCCACTATATGATCTCACACTATATGATAGTCACTCACATGAAAGAGCACCGATTTGCCTCAGATTTAAGGCTGATCTCCAGAAAAACACTAACTAAAATGTAATGTAGTGTATACCCGGCTTGAGAGTTCTGCACATCACTTCATGCCATTTTATCATAAAGGAACAGTTCACCCAAAAATGATATACTCTTGATAAACTAACCCTCATATTGTTCCAAACTATTACGTTTATTTTTCAGTAGATATGAAAGTTGTTGCTAAATGTCCAAGCTGCTCTTTTCCATTCAATGAATGGTGAGTGATTACTCGGGCTGTGGAGCTCCAAAAATGACAACAAAAAAAAAGTGCACTCGTGCACTATATTCCAAATGTTCTGAAGACTTAGGATAACTGTGGGGAACAAGCACAAGATGCATCGTGCCATCAGCTCTTGCAAAACTGTTTTCACATATTTAAACATCTTTAAATCAAAACATGCACATATCATATTTGAGATCTACAGCAGAAGGAATTAAAAATAACTGCTTTTGGTCTGTTCTTCATATAAAACTATATATAGACCACATAGCTTCAGAAGACTTTGCATATGGTGTATGCGTGTATTGGTGTGTGTATTAGTATTATACTTTTTTTGTTGTTTTTTTTCGCATTTTTGAAACTTGAAGCTTGACAGCATCTATACACACTTTCATTGCATGAAAAAAAAACAGCCTGAACATTCTAGATAAGATTAAAAGAAACGTAGATAAATGAGAACAGAATTGTCATCTTTGGGTGAACAATTCCTTAAGGCAGATGCAGGTAGCTCCTGGAAATATTTATATAAAGATATCAAATGTTAATCTAATGATTTAACATAAAAAGCAAAAGGATGTTTGCATAGACAACATGTCTCTACTTGTTCCTCTTTGTAAGAGTGCTTGCATCATTGACTCTTAAATTGCTACTAATCTCTCATTTTACACACCTCTGCATTTCCAGCTTTGACCAACACAATTAAAACTCATGTAGCTTCTGTTTAACATTTCAAAATGTAAATATTATTAAAAAAAACATGAAAAAGCAAAATATCAAAACCAAAGACATTGTTTTGTGTTTATGTAGAGGATAATTCGTGAGTATTATGGTTTGAATAAAACTCTTTTTGTACAAAAAAAATGTTGCCAGTGTTGCATACATAGTCACTTGCTCATAAAAATGCATGGACACACACGACACATTCACCAATAGTTAATTACTCTCTCTGCGACTTGCTAATTTATTTCTAGGCGCATAGCAAACAGTGTCTCTGTTCAGTTTTTAGTTATAGGACCGTACAGCTAGCACAGATTTATTATATAAACAACTCAGGAACAAAGGGTACTGGTTTGGGTGCAATATCCTCAAGGTCTCTTCCCTATTCAGATGGTGAGCTGTTAATGGTCACTTTTCAATGCGTTCTACCTCTGTAGAACTTGAAGTGGATTCTGAAGGCAGTAAAGGAAAGAATTACTTGAATCTCAGACATCCAAGTGGCAAAACCTCCATTAGTTCCATTAGACTGCTGTCGGACTGCTATTCCTATAGCTAACAACAGACTGTGGATTAAAGTATTGTTAATGATTTCTGAAGGAGGGGGGAGCAGCGATGTTTGCTATGGGTAGGGAAGGAGGTGCAAGTCCATTTAGGCTGATGCACTAATGATAGTAGAACAGATCATTTGGTTTAAAAAACAAACTTCAGAGTTTTTCCATTTGCTCACTTGAGAAAACCATTGTCCACCAACCTCAGTGTTAAGGTAGGTTCCTTGTGCCCTTGGTTAGACCTATAGGTTACAAATTTGAGAGCAATGTGAGACTTATTCCTCTGCCTGCTACCTTCTCTGCTGCTGGTTCTGGTTATGATATTGCATCAATGGAACTGGATCTGTCGTCTTGAAGACAGTACTGTTCAGCAGTTGAGTCACTGTATGTGGATTATGGCCTGTAGACTCTTGAAACTGCCATGCTTTACAGTATCAGAATCCACAGAAGAATGCCAGGCAGAAGTCATACTGATCTGTAAACCCACGGCCCTTGCCAGCCACCTGAAGAAACATTGCTATACTTTGGCCCAGCCTCCGCTGGCATGATAGCCTCAGGCTGACCCTCATTTTCAGATAATTACCAATCTCATGTGGCCCACAAAGGAAGGTGCTGAACTGCAAGGAGGAGTCCGCTTTACATGGGATAACCTTCTCCTAAAGGATGGGGGTATTGTGGCTCTGGATTGGGCTGAGTCTGACGGACCAACAAGCTCAGGCCAAAAGGGATCATCATCCTGGAGGAAGATTTCTATGCCATCGCTCTAGTAATCCTGCTATTGTTGTTATAATTCCCAACACCCTAGGCAGAGTAACACCACACTTGCTCAGGTTGTGCTACCAGACTTTGCAACAGGGCTTCTATCCAGTGGTTTTCCATCGACGTGGTCATGGTGGCTGCCCATTGACTACTCCACACTACCAGGAGTTTGGAAATGCTTCTGACCTTGTGCAAGCAGTAGCATACTTGTGGAGTCATCATCCAACCTCAACTTTGCTTGCAGTAAGTGAGGGCTCTGGATCAGGGTTACGGCTGTTCTATCTGGGGGAATGTGGCTCTTCATCCTACCTGACGGCCGCTGCTTGCATCTCTCCTGTGTTTCATGGACAACTGTGGTTTGAGTATGAGCTACCTTGGCTCTATCACTGGATAGCCCTCATGTACCGCAAGTTTCAAATAAACAGGTAGCAATTTACTCACACATTAGACTGATCTATGCTAAAATGTTATGGACTGCAGAATCTACTGCTGCATAAGTACAGGTTAAAGCAGGGGTGTCCAAACTCAGTTCTGGAGGGCCGGTGTCCTGCAGAGTTTAGCTCTAACTTGCCTCAGCACACCTTCCTGGAAGTTTCTAGTATGCCTAGTAAGACCTTGATTAGATGGTACAGGTGTGTATATTTGGGGTTGGAGCTAAACTCTGCAGGACAGTGGCCCTCCAGAAGCAGGATTGGACACCCCTGGGTTAAAGAAAAGTTCACCCAAAAATGACAAATGGAAGAAACCACTATAAAATTAGCTCATGCAACTTGTGTCCTGTGCTAAACTGTGCTAAAATTGCATCTGCACTTTCAAGAGCTATCCTGTGCCATTCGGCATCACTTATGTAAAACCTTGGAGACAATTCACGATTAAAAGCATTAATTCCAATCTTGCAATCACTTGGCACACAAGTAACATGGACTTTTATGCTGCCCAGTGACCACTACACAATTTTAGCCCTGATTTTCCAACCACAGACAGTTAACGGAAATCACAGAAAAAATGTGGAAATCTTGAAGGGTTAGTTCACCCAAAAATTAAAATTAGCCTGTGTTTTACTCACCCTCAAAGCATCCTAGGTGTATGTGACTTTCTTCTTTCAGACGAATCCAATCGGAGTTATATTAAAAATTGTCCTGGCCCCTCCAAGCCTTTCAATGGGGTTAAGCGGGTGTTGGTTGTCAACAGTTCAGAAGACATGAAATAAAGTGCGTGCATCCATAACAAAACATCCCTCACACGGCTCCGGGGGATGAATAAAGGCCTGCTGTAGCGAATCCATGCATTTTTGTAAGATAAATATCCATATTTCAAACATAATAAACATTTTTCTCTCACTTCTGGTATTCTGTCATATGTGGAAGGCGTTCCGGCAGATGATGTAAGACGTCGACGTTGCGTGATTAGTGACGAGCGCGGAGAGAGAACAAAACAAAACGCTGTTCACGAATTAGAAGCACAAAACGAGGATTTGTAATGATAAAATGTTGGAGGATTTTGATATAAGCCAAGAGGAGACTGGTTTTCCTTTGCTAAAGTAAGGAAACTGTTTCCTTTGCTCCTGCATTTCTTAGAGGCGCGTGCACGACGCATACGTCTTACGTCATTCGCCTGAACGTCTACCGCGTACCAGTCAGCGGAAGTGAGAAAAAAGTTTTTTTTTTTAATATATTAGATATTTATCTTACAAAAATGCATGGATTCGCTATAGGAGGCCTTTATTCACCCCCCCGGAGCCATGTGAGGGACGTTTTAATACAGATGCACGCACTTTATTTCACGTCTTTTGAACTGTTGACAACCAACACCCGCTTACCCCCAATGAAAGGCTTGGAGGGGACAGGATAATTTTTAATATTCCAAACTCCGATTGGATTCGTCTGAAAGAAGAAAGTCACATACACCTAAGATGCTTTGAGGGTGAGTAAAACACAGGCTAATTTTCATTTTTGGGTGAACTAACCCTTTAAGCAAGTCTGTGTTCGTTTATGTGAGTAACAATCACTACGTGTAATTTTTTAAAGACAGGACCTGGAAGTGCCAATGAACTGCTGAGGCCTGAGAGATATTTAGCAGGCTAAATTGAGTTGCATAATGAATAGTCATCATTATAGAATTCCACCAATAACCCATAACCAAATTTTCATTTTTGGGTGAACTGAATCTTGTGAATAGGATAGTACAAGAACTGCATCCCAAGTTAGGGCATTGCAAGATGCCACAGTGCAAAACTACCACATGAAAAAGGCAACTAGGATTTAAAAGCTCTTTGAATTTAAACATTTGACCCTTTCCACAGGTACGCCACTGCTTTGAGCTCTGTGATGGATATAGCAAAAATTTTTACACTGCAACTCCTTGAGAGATATGGAAGAGCTCATGTTCTGTGCTCCTAAGCAGTCGGATCACAGAATGTCAGACTCAGTGGACAATGTTGGAAAGGACAGTTCAAGATTATCAATGAAGCCTGACTGGCCAACTTACTGGGAGAGGAATGAACCTTTGCGAGATGCAGACGAAGTGGCAGTGCCAGTGCTCTGTTTGTGTAGCCAAGACGATCCTCTTCTTCCACCTCTCTCCACTGACTGTACCTGAGGCACTTTTTCATAATAGCCCTTACTTCCTGCTGGCTGTGACGGAATTTTATGCATGAGGATGGTCATGGAGGTACTACTTCCTGGAGGCATTCTGTGGTGCTGGAATACTTTAGGGTAGTTGCCAATTTCTTCAGGGTGGAGAAGAAAGGCTTCAAAGATGTTTTTGCACACTATGGCAGCCAGAGTCTGAGGCATAGCACTAGTGCCATGCTGTCCAGAAGAAGAACAAACTTGCTCCGGAAAGAAAGGCCCATCTTAGTTTCACGAAGACGGCAAATCTCAGCTCCCTCTGATACATTCACATTTGAAGAGGAGCAGGAGGATTTTACTTGGAATGGATCCTATACACGCTGAGTGAGAGAAGCAGGTGGTATTATAAGATCATAGCAGATTGGTAGTGCTAAACTTCCTACAAAAAGGCACAGTACATGTTTACAGGGATAGTTCACCCAAAAATGAAAATTCTGTCATTAATTACTCACCCTCATGACATTCCAAACAGACACAGAAGAAAAGAAACTGTTGAATAAAGTTATTTTTGTTTTCTTTGTGCACAAAAAGTATTCTCATAGCTCCACAAAATTAAGGTTGAACCACTGATGTCACATGGACTGCTTTAATGATGTCCTTACTACATTTCTGGGCCTTGAATGTGGTAGTTCCCTTGCTGTCTATGCCGGGTCAGAAAGCTCTCTGATTTCATCAAAAATATCTTAATTTCTGTTCCGAAGATGAACGAAGGTCTTACAGGTTTGGAACGTCATGAGGGCTAGTAATTAATGACACAATTTTCATTTTTGGGTGAACTATCCCTTTAAAAAATATGAGGTGCCCTTAGTTAGGAAACCCCAGTTGTGCGGAAATGAGTAAGGAGGACACCATGGAAGATAAAGGGAACAAAATGGAGATCAAGAACATGTTGAAAGACAAAAAGGAATTATGTTGACAGCTTGGCCTATACAATTAGATGCTATATTTAGCCATCTCTTTTTTTTGTACAAATTCAGTTGGAGCAAGTGAGGCAACTCTGTGTGCAAGACGGTTTTCACATTTTTGGACTCATTATCTGAATTCAAAAGCACCATGTTTGAAAGGGGAATCAATTAAAAAATCCTCATGAAAAGGATGTTCAGGAAAGATTACACTTATACACCTAGATTTTAAAAGCAGACAACTGTATTAAAAAAATACAAATGACAAAACCAAAATATACTAAAATTACTTTATTACAGTTGATTTCTTTGTCCAGTAGCCCTCTGCCAACAAAAGGAGTAATTACAAACAAAACATTACATTTGTCCCCTTACGTTTTCATAATCTTTGTATATTTTAATACACTTGTAAGTGTTTTTGTTATGAATAGCCATAACAATTTTTCTAATCTCTCCAACATTCAGTTTTTTTTTTTTTTACAATCTATACATTTTAATACAGGTTATATATGTATTGCTTGGTAATGTTGAGGCAGGAAAACGAGACAACGACCATCAAAAGAAAAAGGTTGAAATACTGGTAAACACACTGTACAGAGATGTACCACCTTTCTTGATTATTATTCATCTTGTTGTTTTCACACTTATCAAAAGGGTCATTAAAACAAGGATGCTATGGACTTCCAAAGAAATCTGCTCTTATAAAAGAGCACACCTCTCACCTTTTTTTTTTTACCATTTGCGAGAGTAAACTCACATTTTGAGTCTATGGCTGTTCCTCTGGTCCAGTGATTCCATTAGAGTACTGAATGTAATTAAACAATTGGCATTTTATATGTATATCTCATGTTAATTTGGCCTAAATCTTTAGGATTGGCTCTGCATTGGCTTAGTTGGGTTTAGTTTGTCAGACTGAGATAAGCAACTTCATGAAATCTGCAATCCCATGCATATACCAGAAGTGTGCCAAAATAGTGTTCATAGTTGGTAGTTATTATAGGTAGCACTGATATTGCAAACTGGAATTTCTTTTCCTGGAAACATTTTTGTAAATCCATTCTGAAATAGACATGATGGCAGTTATGAAGAGATTTCTCTTTCTTCGAACGAAACAAAAAACCCAAACCATTCATCTTTCAGAAAATGAAAGTTCACAGCTGGTTCACAAATAACAGAATGTGAGTACTGGCACTAATGAATATGGTAATTCATACCTTTGAAAGCAAGGAAAGCAAGAAGCAAAGAGAGGACTATGGAAAGGGATATCCTCTGAATAAGTGTAATCGCAGGGGAAATAAAATCTTTTTTTGGCTTTACTTGACACCTCTGAGAATATGCTTTTGTGTATATATATTTTTTTTCTCTTTTTAAATAATCAATATTAGAAACCAAGTAATTTTTTTCTTTTATCTTCACAGTCAAGCAATTAAATTTTAGTCTAGTTTTAACGTGGGTCTTTATATTGATTTTCATTTATTTAAATTTCTAAATATACAATATACACACATTTTCCTATACATCTCACTTAAAGCTTTCTCCTGGCTGTATACCCTTCCACTATAATGTTTTATATGCTATCTGACATTTTTCATTGCATTTTTAATCATTCTTTTTCTACATGCTGTGATAAGTGTTCAGTTGGAGGGTGGGCGGCAGTCACTGGAGATCTGGGGTGGGCGTGGAAGAAACAAAGGCACTGCAGGGACGACAGCAGCAGCACCCACCCGCCCAGCAAAAACATTCAGCGGTCTCAAGCTTACCCAACCCAGACCTCCCCACCCCTAAAATCCACACAACACGCTCTTGTCAAACCCAGCCTGAGAAAGGGGAGGAGGGGGCACCCGAGGACCAGGAGATCTGCTTGTATGTGATTGTAGTGAGCAACTAAGAGTAGAAGAGGATGGTAAAGTGCTTTTCTGTGATGTTAAGCTCAGTGAATGAAGACTTGAATGTGACAGGCTACTATCCTTTTGCATAGTTGCGATTGTTAATTTTGGCATCACTAACTCAAAAGACTAAAACAAACATTAATATACTTCAGCGGCTTTTGCCATACTGTTATTCAGGAGTGAAGTTTTACCATGCCAACACGCTTTAACACTCACGTACATTCACATAGCAAAACCTGTTTTTAGTGTCATTCTACATATTTAGTTCAAGACACCCCTACCTTTCAAGACCCCTACAGTACCTCCACATTAATATAGTCATTTCATATCACTCACCTACCTTATAACTTATGTCCTTTTGGCCTATAGCAATAGAACACACCTGTTCATACACTTACTATCAGAATTTTAGGCTTTGAATGTTTTCAAAGTTTTAAAAGCAAAATGGCATCCTGCTCTCCGCAGTTTTTGGTTATTTGGACCTGTGGAAGGATGGCAATGGCAACATAAAAAAAATAAATAAAAAAAAATCACAATAATTCAATAATAAAAATAATTCTAGCAAATCTTGGAATTTCACAGTATCTTTTCATAGTTAAAATTTGTTCTGGCACAAAGAGCATAATGTCTACTCACATTAAAATTAGTGCTTGTTTATAAAAGACTAAGCTAGACAAAATCAAGTGCATTGTAAAACTTGATTCTTTCACATTCTGTTATCCAACCTTTATACCATCTATTTATATATATATATATATATTTCTGAGAAAATGATATGCATTCATCTCCCGCTCTATACAACCGAAACCAGCTGCTAATAAGACCATGATAAAACCCACTGCATAAAGATTTACAATCTTACCTATGAGAGGTAATGCACAGCATCCATATATTCATTCTTACCCTCACTAACATTTTCAAATCAGTTTAACACACTCTAAAATGCCCACTGCATTTTCTCTGAATTCAAAACTTTTTCACATCGTTGCAAAAATGACTTCGGTTATTCTGGATTCTAGCTGAAGTTTGATACAACTGGCCAGAATGTTTTACATTCTTAGAACCTGAACTACAATTGATGCATTTTGTGCTTACAATGTGCATAAAATATGTATTTAGAGGATTAAAGAATGGGTGTAAAAGAAAAAAAAAAAAAAAAGACCACGGTGCCCCTTTGTCCCTTCCCCTATGGCACGTTGGGTCAAGATGGGTGTTGTGGGAGAGCAGCGGGTGGTCTTACGTGAAGGACAAGTGCGAGCCATTGGAAATCTGAGAGGCGATGCTGGCACTCCTGCTCATCCCCTGCTCACTGCGGCCCCCTGCGGTGGCCCGCCGTACCACCTGGGGACTGTTCCATAGCCCACCACTTCCCCCGCTCAAGCGCTGACTGCCCCCAGACCCGTAGTGCCCCCAGGGGGGCGGCCCCCCTGAAGGCAGGCCGTGACCCCAAGGCTGTTGGATAGAGTCACTGTGACTTGGGTGGTGGTGGTGGTGGCCGTGCTGGCTGCCACTGTTGTGCCCTCCCCAGTGTGACCTCTGGGAGCTTGCACTGTGCTGGGAGCCCCAGCTACTCTGGGCCCCCGGAAAGCTGTGGCTGTGGCCGTCGGATGAGGCCAGGCTGGAGAGCACCATGTTGCTGAAGCCCAGACGCATGCTTTCAGAGTCAAACGCTTCAATCTCCCGGGCCTGCTTCTCTAATAGACTGCGGATTCGTTCCGAGCGCTCATTTTGCAGGGTAACCATTTCCTCTTCAATCTGACCAAAAACCAAAACAGAATCAGGTAACACTCTGATTAAGACATTATATTTTCTAATATATATATATATATTTGCTGCTGTTGGTATAGTTAAGGCTGTAATACACCACATAACTTTTCCCCAGATTTTTGCACAGATTTGAGGTATGGAAGTGTCAAAGCTAGCTGATGGAAGTCAGAACTAGTATAGTATATTTTTATTAGACATATAATATGACTGTAGAATATCCTGAGAACTGTATGAATAAAACCAGGAAACTTTAGGCCTTTCTGACTCACACTGTTTGATATGTGTTATTCTGTTCATGGGGCATGATAAACACGCTGCACCAGCCATTAGGGCCTTTCGCACCGCGGGAACCTTTTCATAGTACCAGAACTAATTGTGGAACTACCCACTTTTTGGCGTTTTCGCACCGCCGGAACTGGGTGCGATTTTCTGGAACTAAAGCGGTGCGAAAGGCCCTATTGATACAATGTAACGTATGCAGTGTTGGGCAGTAACGCATTACTTAGTAGCGCGTTACTGTAATTTGATTACTTTTTTTAGTAACGGAGTAATTTAAAGAGTTATAATTTTCAAAATAGTAATTAGAGTATAGTTACAAGCCGAGGTCTCTATACGTTACTGCCGCATTACATTGCTGACAGAATGCAGTGTTTTATAATCTGGAGATTGTAAAAAGGATGTAGCACACGCACTGTGTGGGATGCGGGAGAATAAAATGATTCATGGGACTCCCGCAAAATAGAAATATCTAAACATAAAATATCTAAAACAAATAAATTATTATTCATCTATAGCACAAAAGCAACATGAACTAATATAAAACATAAACAATTAACAGGTGCAAGCGTATTCAGAGTTTCTATTTAGGCTATTTAGCTACTGCAGTGCTCTTTGCTGGCATTCTGCCATGCCAAACCATGCACGCAGCAGCCGCTTGTTTTAGTTAAAAATAACAGTGTTCTGTGAATGTTGATGCTTTAATAACAAATATTTATCGGGAGCGTGTATGCTGGGATTTCATAAATTTCATGGAGAAAAAAGTAACGTAACTAGTAATGTAACTAATTACTAATTAATCAGAACAGTAACGTGATTACTTTTAAAAGGAGTAATCAGTAATTTAATTATATTTTCAGAGTAACTTGCCCAACACTGAACGTATGTTGGTAGTATGTGCTTCACCCTTAGAAAGTAAACAAGAGGATAGTTAAATAATTATAACAAGAGTTTAAAGATGAAGTCATTGTTTATAAACTGTATAAAAGTGGAAGCTGCGACTGGGTTCTGCAGGCATCTCGCTTTGTTGACTGCTGCAATAGTTTTATCTTTGACAACTCTGGAACTCTGTGACTTGAGTGCTTTTTGCAAAGAAAACAGAGACTTTTCCCACAACACTAGCCTGCAGATATTGGGCAGTCAGAGTTGACAGATTTCACAGAAAATTGCATAGTATATGATGGGCACAGACTCTGATTTTTTATCTTCAGACTATGGTTCCATCAAGTTGGAGGAGATCAATATTCTGAGCTGATTTCACAATATTATTTTTATTTGTCTTCTAGCAACGAGGCAGATGGTTCTGCATGAGATTGTGTTCAGAACTACTTGAAAGTCTGGCAGTGTGTGACCATCACTCATATTAGCATATGATAACCAGTTTTTCACTCTAACCATTCACAAAGTCGCCAACTGAATGATGCGTAGTGTTCAGGTTTTGAAAGTTGTGTAGTATATTCCAGCCTTCAGACAAAATACTTGTCAAACTTAAACTTCATTTGTTCACCCTTGTGTCATTCTGAATCTGCATGTATGTTTTTTCTGGAACACAAAAGTAGACATTTTTGAGGAATCTACACATTTTTCCAATACTGCGTCCAAATTCAAAATTGGAGGGTCAGCATAAATGGCAAAACACTTGTTCTTGGGCATGCATTAAGTGAATGTGATGTGTCTTTTTTGAATTTTGGATGTGAAATTAGGCTAAACATCCTTCGATAATTTGAAGATGCTTCAAAGGTCATATTCTACTGAAAAGAAGTTCAAAAACGAGTTAAATGGAACATAAATGACAGAACTTTCATATTTGTGTGAGCTATACCTTTAATTCTTATTCTGGAATGTCAAAAACTCTGAAACTCTTTAAAACAACATGCCTCCCCCTGTGGTTTCAAGTAGTGTTGCTGCTTGGGTTTGTATCAGTTAACATACCTTCTGCTCAAGCAGAGCCCTCCTCAGTGAAACCCTCTGCTCCAGCTCTTTCCTCTCACGATCGTGCTGTGCATCTGTCTGCATCTTGATCTTGCTCTGATAAGCATTCAGCAACTCCAACTCCTGCTGCAGCTGCATCTTTAGCACCTGACATTCGGCCTCCTGTGCCTCATCCAATCGCAGCTAAGGAGCAAGATGGGAGGCGTAGTTACATTTAGAATTAGTGTGTTAAAGACAAGAGAAGATGAATGCCACATGATCCACATTTAAATTAGGAGAACAGATTTTTGCCTCCTGCATTACTTATCCCACAACTGAATACTGTTTAGTAAGTAACTACATCAACTCCTTCAGAACTTTGTGACTGGTTCAAACTCTTCGATGGCTTTACAGGAAGAGATATACATATGCGTACACCTAACATGGCAGGTCACTCACAGCTTGTGTGGAGAGCATGTCATTGATGGAATGGTCGTACTGCTCAGCAAGGATGGCTAATTTCCGGGTCTGCTCCTCCTTCAGCCTCTTCAGCACAGCCTTGTGGTCAGACTTGGGTGTGGTCTCCAGGAGGTGGTTGCGCAGGGCCTTATACTGCCGTGTCTGGATTTTACACGTGTCCTGGAACTGTTTCTTGATCTCGAGCTCTTTAGACTAAAGAGGAGAATAGACTTACTGATTCTACACTACTAGCTAATGTACGTTACAAAAATAAGCATAGGCTACACACCTTAAGGCTCTTGGGCTGTTGCCGGACCTCCATGACATGTTTGCGGCGTAGCTCTCGCTCTCTGCGTTTGTTGTACTCTAGCTGGTTGGTGAGTTCAGTCTGATGCTGCAAGCGAATCAGCTCTGTACGCATCTTCTGGATGGTGCCCAGCTGCCTCACCTCCAGCTCCTGCATGGATTCATGATGGCGGAGCAGCATAGCATGTTCCAGATCTTTCTGCGTCTGGCGCTTATTTAGCTCCTGGATCAAGAAAATCTATCGTTATATTTGTTTTCTTTAAAAATAAAAATATAGGAACTAAATTTTTTTTAATTTAATTTAAAAAATAATAGATTAATGAATTATCAAAACAGTCATTAGCTATGTCTTTGAGCAAAAGTGACGTTACCTCCCGTACAAGGTCTTGCTCTACATTGTGTTTTGCAATGAGGATTCGCCGTTTAAAGCGCCGACATTCCAGCTCCAGGTACTGCCGCTGCCGGCGGAGCAGGTTGGCTTCCTCCTCTGCCTGGTAGTGCTGAAAGTTCTCCTTCTGCTTCGAAAGCCACTCCTGCTTCTCTTTCTTAGGGGTGGACTGGTTCTCATTTAGCTCCTACATGCAGCGTGGGAAACATCAATGGGTTGTAAAGGGAAATACAGACATTTTTCTTGCTTGTTTTTGTTTTAGTAATAAAAGGCAAAAATGTAACTACATATTTTTATATATTTGTTATATATAATAAAAAATTTAAAGACCCCCTGTGGTGAAAAATCTGGTTTTTGATATGGTTTACATGTTTCTCTGGTGTTTTTATCATGCTTAAAGACAAAACATGTGCAAATTCATCAGTCAACACCATTGCTAAGGATTTTCTCCTTAAAACTACAGTGTAACAAAGATAGTCTCAAAAACGTGGTTTTAAACTACACCTGTTTCCTACTGTCACAAACATGCAACCAATCGCGTCAACTTGTGAGACGAGGCTTTTCATATCTGGGGCCTATACCATGAAACTCGTTTAACTGGCTAGCCAGGTAAGTTTTAGTTTAGCTAACTGGGTGTTAGGCACCATGAAAGTGGTTTGGGGTTTGGCTTTCAGCAGTGTTCATCACCATAGTAACTTGTGCTCCACGGTTAAATTGGTGACTGCAGGGAGGCTTTAAATCAATAAACATTATTTTTAAATTCATTACGCAAAAAACTATGAATATTATGGTTTTCAATGATGATTTTTACTGAACTACATTTTTACTGTATTTTACTTCTTGCTTTAAACATTTTGAATCAACTTAGTAACAATGTTTTCTCTCATCCTCTGGATTGTATATTGTTAATTTGTATAACTGTGTAACTGTCAAATGGCTGAACAATAGAGATACATGACATTATAGCTGTATTGCCTATGCCCATTTTCGGTATTTTTCATTTGTCTTCATTTCATTACACTGTTCAAGCAAAAATAATCTCACAGATCTCAGAGGTCAGTTTAGGTAGAATTATACCAAGATGAAAAACACCATTGGTGAATTCATATATGGGTAAAAAGCCATGCTTGAGCATGTGTGTTTACCTCTTTCAGTTGTTCCTTTCTTAGCTTGTACTCTCGTTTCTGTGACTCCAGGAAGCTACTAAGCTCTTTCTTTTGCTGTGCTTGAATGTGCTGTTGGAATTTCTTCTCATCATTGGCAAATGACTTGGCCTTCAAGATATGACAAAAAATAAAATAAATAAAATAGATAAAATAAAATATAAAAAAAAAATCTTTATGCATAGTGCCTTTGTCATGATGAAGCAGAAATAGAATCTCCCCCTTTGCAGCCACAAAGTAGAAAGCACATCATTTTATGACGTAATATCAAGATTTTACTTCACTGGAATGGAAGGCCATGGCATAAGAGGAAGAGGGGAATTCCCAATTCATAAGCACTTTTCAGGTGAACTTCCACATTACTTTCCGCATCTTTGTGCCGCCCAAAAAATGATTGTGCTTGGGATCTAAACAGATCATGTGACATGTCTTGCGCACACTTACATCTTTCTCTATGGATGCTTGGTTTTTCTTCACAAGTTTCTCCATCTCAGCGGCAAAGCTGTTCCTCTGGGCCTCCAGCTCTTTGTCCAGTCTCAGCCTGTGTTCGTCCATCTCCACTTTCAGTTTGTTCTCCAGGGCCATAAGGTGCTTCTGGTGCTGCCGTCTCATGCGTTTGTAACCGGACATCTGCTCCCTCAGCTCGGAGTCCTGCTCATGTTCCTGCATCTGGCGTGTCACCTGAAAGAAGGGAGAGGAGGAACACAGTGAAATGCAACAAAAGTGAAGAAGAGGAAATAAAAATAATCAAGAGATGTCCTGTGAATTTTGAACATTACAAGAACCTGAGGCTGAGAGTGAACAAAAAATTCTTGTGAAGCCATTCAGTTTACACCGTGTCTACACTGAAAGCAACCAATGCCAAGGTTCATAGATTATAAATGAGTAATGTAGTTTTGATGCCTTTGCAGGGTTGTGAAGCATTTCACTACAGATCCACTGTGACTGGCTCACCAGATAGGCTGTGCGGATGGTGGCAAAGTGCTCGCGGTTGCGATGGTGTTTGCGTTGCGGGGGCTGTGCGGGTGCCGCCTGGGCTTCTGGGGGACGAGGGATTTCAGGATCCTCAGGGTAAACTTCCTCTTCTTCCTAATGGACACAAAAGCAGGAAACATATATTAGGTATCATGAAGTTCAATGTTCACAGTTACTTAGTATAAAGAATCTCTGATTTGGGTTATGCAGGAAGGCATGAAGGTATCTGAGATATTTTATCAAGAGATGTGTGAACGTACAGGCTTCAGGTGTATGACCGAACTATTAGACATAACAGTGTGGTCTTTCTCCAGGTCATGGTCACTCTTGTCATCAGCAGCGTCGGGAATGCTGTTCACTGAGCTGCTCTGAGAGCTTGCACTGATTGACATGCTGGGAATGGACTGATTACTGCCCACACTGCTCACTGTGCCCGTGTGACCAGGACCGTGCTCTGACTCCTAAATACACATACACAAAAAACAGCAGTTCAGATACTAGGGCTGGCTCGATACCACTTTTTCAGAACCGATCCCGAGCCGATACCAGAAATTCCGAGTATCGGCCGAAACCGCTACTGGTCCGATACAAGCGCAGGTTGTTGTTTTTTTTTAAATGTGTTGAATTTCTATACCTCAGTGTGCTGACCTGATCATCACTCTTTTGTGTGTTAAACAATCTACCACATATAGATAACTTCACTGTAAATAAACAACAACAAATGACTAAATATATAATCATAATCTATGACAAAAATACTACTATATAGTAGGTTAGTGGATAATTCAGTAGCAAAAGTTACTCTAGAAAAATCATGAGTGCACAATTTTATAAAATCTAAACATTTAATGAAAAAAAACAGTGTGGAACAAATAAAAGTGAATAAATGTAGGGCTAAATCTGGTAAAATGTTAAACACTGCTCTTTGTATTGTAAATGCATTAATGAAAAACAAGTAATAGATTTATATATGAATTAATATACTATAAAATTTAAAGACATTTCTTTTAAATGTATAGCACAGTAATGAGGCAACAACATATGATAGATAAGACAACAAGAAAGGGTATTAAAAATGTTTCATTGCGCAAAAGTATTATAACATGAAAGGCTCCTATACGGAGCGGCACAAAGCGCTTTATGCACATCCTGTGCGCAGAATGATGCGCTTGAAGCAACACGGAGTCACAGCGCTCCGCATAGAAAAGTTCAAAGCACAGAGGGAAGAGATATTGATGCGTAGTGTATTATATCTGTACGATAGTTTATTGAGCCTTTTCTTTTAACAGTTTTAAATTTCAGTTACTGTGCACATGAAGAACAATTCATAGTGCTCTCTACTGCAGTGTTGTGATCTAACAGACACCCGGTAGAAAAAAACATGATTTGGAAACAGCACTAAACTCCAGCAAGATAAAGTCCTTTTATGCAAAACCATTGATCTTTATCAACAGATCAAGGATAATAATAGGAACATTGAATAATCTTGAAGAGAGTTTTATCGTCTTGACTGTCATAGCTAAACGCGATACACAGTTTGAATGCTGAATGGAGGATGACAGACAGCCGCAGCGGAGAGAACAGTTTAAGTGAACTTGTATTTAACGACTTAAATATTCATCTGTACTTCACACTGAACTATGGAACGGTCTCAGAAAACTTGAAATATAGTGCACGAAAACTTTATGGTGCTTTATAATTTTTTTGTGCCTTTCGTGGGGCTTAATAATAACACAGAACAGTATAAGCAGAATATCGGATTTGGATCGGTCTCGTCTGACCGATACCCGATCCGGCAGAAAATGCCAGTATCGGAGTGATACCGATACAGAGTATCGGATCGGCGCACCCCTATCAGATACCAACGGTCATAGTGATATAAACAACTCTATTTTGAAAAAAAAAAAAAAAAAAGTAAACAGAGTGTCCAGACTTTGAACATTTTTAATGTGTTGATTTCGACTCAAGATTTCGGGCCCCACTTTATATATATGAGCCAGTCAATATTAAAACACTGGAACTAGGTAAGGCTCGAGATCTGACCTCATCTCCCTCCTGGGTCTCAGTGGTCGGCCCATTGTGCACCTCCTGAAAGAGGATCTTCTTCATCTTGCGGTACTGCAGGTTGTCCAGCTCTCGGACCGCATCTTTTGTCCGCAAAATTAAGTCTATCAGAACAGATTCTGGCCTCTCTCGCAGGACGAAGGCATGCTATGGTTTTAGTAAAGAGTGCAGAAAATAAGGCAGTTGTAAATATTCAGGTGGAATATTAATATGATTAAGAAACAAAAAGGTTATTTAATTTAAATGTTGATAATTTAGTGCAAAGTAAACACCTGCAACAGATCCTCAGAGTGTGGTCTGTCTTGAGGGATTTTCTGAAGGCAGGAGTCAACAAAATTTCTAAAATAATCCGTCCTGATGAAAGAAAATGATACAGCATGTAAATCAACTAATGACTGCTCATTCATGCAGAAATGCCTCAATATTTTTCATAATATACATCTTCATGTATTTGTTCTAAATTGACTTAAATCGGCCATTTAAAGTGACTTCAATAGGGTTTCTGCAGGTTTGATGAAGGTTAATTTAAGAATTTTTAAGACCTTTTTAAGATCAAGTAAAGAAAATGTAAGCAATAAATTAAAGGATCATAATATGTAATGTTGTTCTCTAAATTCTAGGAACCACACAATGAGTTGTATTAGGAACACTTTAAAGATTGAAGAAAATACAGCTTTCTACCAATCTCCATTACTTTTTAATTCATTTTGCAAAAATAAAATAAAATAGCTTAAAGGTGGGGTAAGTGATTTCTGGTAGCCAATGTTGATATTTCAAATCACCAAAGCAAACACGCCCCTACCCCAAAAGGGTCTCGCCCCTATTTTGATAGCTCCGCCCCACACATACCCAACACACAACCCATGCAACAATTAGTTCTGTGAAACAAAGCAAAACATGTCAACACTGGACACGAGCAGCGCTGCGCGACAAAATAATATAGAGCTCATAATCAGTGATGCTGTCTACACCATAGATATATATACATATCTATGGTCTACACTGGATGCGGCGCGGCGCAGCGCGACACGACACGACAAATCCCCGACAGAAAACTGCTGCTGCGTTCGATTTATGACGTGTTGACACAAATTTCAAATGATTTTCAACGGTTGCTTTTTTGCGTCCAGTGTAGACAGACTTTAGCTGTTTAGCTGTTACGGCACGACAACTGTCACGTCCGGTGTAGACACGGTGTTACTCACCTATCGAGAAGAAACAAATCAACCTCGGCGTCCGATCGCAGGCCTTCCGCTCCTTGAGTTCTCTCCAGCGCTGGAAAGCTGATCCGATATTTACACGGGTCCTACTTCTTGCCTTATCGTAAGCCTTCTTTTGTTCTGCAGAGATTTTCCTCTTTTGTTTTTATCCACCACCATCTCTATCTTTCTGTCGTCACTCGGCTCGGCTAATGTCCGTCCTGTGCACTGAGCGCTCTCTTCTCGGCATCATGAGTAGATACGACCCTTACTGCTGAATGGATAAAAGTTTGTTTTTTTAGACTCAATTTTCTAAAGCGTTTTTGAAAAAATACATACCCCACCTTTAAATTTGGTGATCCAAAACAGTGAAACTAATCATCATTCAGGCAAAAGTTTGTTTCAAGAATAACCACATTGCTGATGTGATCTTATCGCTAGCACACCCACAGCACATGTGAGCTATTAGTCTTATCGGCAAAGCATATCAGCATTTTTTTTTTTTAATCGGCAGATGCCGATGTTTACATTTTAAGCTTTTGTCGACCGATTCCGATAAAGTTCCGATACTATCGTGCATCTCAGTTTTCTAAAGTGTTTTTGAAAAAATACATACCCCACCTTTAAGGCTTGAATACTTCTGCTCCCAATCACTAGAATATGAAAAAATAACCTTTACCTTCATAATACAAAAAAAGGGATGTTCTTCCCCAGTATTTTTGTCTTATTTTTCAAATGTCTAAAGACTCTTAAATCAAGATACATTTACTGAAGAAACAAAAGGGAAAATACATTTTCATACCCTATTTACAGATTTTTGTTCGTTTTTTTAAAACAATTTTCAATTTCTCAGAAAACATTCCATTTTTAGAAATGCATGCAACATTCAATTACATTCATCAGTTTAATTACTTTAACAGTTTAAGACTTTCTGCTCTGATTTCAGACCTTTTTAATGCCTTAACTTGTGGAAAGGTGAATTAAGACTTTAAGACCATTTTAAGGCCCCGGATCAGACAATGCGTTTTTCAGGTTTGAAAAGCGAGGCTTTTTTTGGTTGACTTTTTTTTGTAATTTAGAAAAGAGCAGTGTGCTACATTTTTGTTGTTGTTGTTCTTATACGCAACGCCCAAATCAGCTGTCCTGTCAGTCTAATCAAGGATTTTAGTGAAAGTGAAAAGTGAAGTGACGTGTGGCCAAGTATGGTGACCCGTATTCAGAATTTGTGCTCTGCATTTAACCCATCCAAGTGAACACACACTCGGAGCAGTGGGCAGCCATATTGCTGCGGCACCCGGAGAGCAGTTGGGGGTTCAGTGCCTTGCTCAAGGGTCTCACCTCAGTCGTGGTATTGAGAGTGGAAGAGAGTGCTGGTTATTCACTCCCCCCACCGACAACTCCTGCCGAACCTGAGACTCAAACCCACAAACTTCATGTTACAAGTCTGACTCTCTAACCATTAGGCCACAACTGCGAGCGCTCTAAAATCTTTGGTTTGCTGTTAAGTAAACTGTCATATTAGCAGAAACTTTAAAAAACCACAAGTTTCTCCTCCATTATTCCGGACATTTCTGGACATTCCAAGCAACTGTAAACGTCCGTCACCACAACGGAAGGCCCACCTCTCCATTCATTCGATTGGACAATGGACAATGACGTCGGACGCTTTTCTGCTCAGTTGATTTTTTTTTCAACTTCAGTTGCTCAGAGCGCTCCTACAAAAATGTAAGGTGCAACAGGCTGCTAAAACACGAGGCGCCCAGGGCGCATAAGCAGCACGCAAAACACACACTGCCAATAGAAAACAATTTAAAAAAGGCTCCTCTCACTGCAAAAAACACATTCTGTCTGATTCTAGCCAAAGACCTACAAGAACCTTGCTTCAATTAGAAGAACCTTCATTTCAGCCAAACATACATTGGTTGTAAAGTAGATTTAACTAAACTAATATTTAATTATCTGCATTTATATGCACCAAATACACAGCAATATTTACCTACAAATATTTTTACAAAAACAATTTAATATCTGGAAAATGCCACTTTTTATATTTTATTTTGAACTATTTTAACTTATTTTAAACTTCTCTAATGCCATTTTTGCTACTGAAGTTTAAATCAGAAACTTTATTAAAATGGTTTTCTTAATGCTTGCATACTTGCAATTCGCATGAAAAATAGTCAATTAAAATACACACACAAAATAATCACCACAATATTTGATTTACTACCTAGCCCTAATGCAAACAGCTATTTTTGTGTATATATTAGTGGACTCACCATTCACTCGATTGCAGTGTAGGGCTCTCATTCTGCGCTATGTGGTATAAGGCACTCATCGCATTCATGTTAAACAGAGGAGGTTTCCTTTCCGCTACAGCAAAAGGGAGAAGAAAAAGTAAGACTGACTTTCACAACATGAAAGATGCACAATTCAATTTACAATGAGCAGCACTTCTTTGTCACCTAGTTCTATGCAGGTGATCCCAAGAGACCAGATGTCAACCTTTCCATCATACTGTCCCTCGTCCATGGCTAAAATCACTTCAGGGGCCATCCTGAGAGGAGGTGGCCATGTTAGTAACCAGGCTGTGTGAATGGAATCATTATTACTCAGAGATAACCAGTGTGCTCACCAATATGGTGTCCCCACAAAAGAGTTGGCTGGGGAGGCAATGGAGGCAGAACCAAAATCTGCCAGTTTGACTCGTCCAGGCTCGGTCAGCAGGATGTTCCCAGCTTTGATATCCCTAAGTGAAGAATGACATGCATAACAGTCAAAATTAGAGGTAGTTTCCCTCGATTCCACAGGCAGTGCTGTCTGAAGTATAGATAAATATCTGTGTGACTTTGCAATTATAAGTCTTTTTGAATTAATTCAAATGAATTGGCTCATAAGAGTCGTTGAATTGGAATACAGTGACCTGTATGAAGGGTTGCCAACCATTCCGTATAATACGGAATCGTCCCGTATTTAAGGCATCAAAAAAGCGTTCAAGTTTGGGTGATTATTGATCATAAGCAAGTGAAGCCAAAACGTTTCGATCGCCCCCAGGTGGTTGGTCCCAGTATAGGTCATAAACCCCGCCCTCTTCATGTAATCTAATGGGACGTGAGACAAACTAAATAATAAAGAATTTTAAAAGAATTTTGGTTTTAGTTAGTTATGTGATGCTATAAAAATGGGAATGTGACGTCATGATTGACAGCTGAGATTGACAGCTTCTCTGAGCAAACTGAGGCACCAACTAACTTTTTCGGGATCTTCAGGAGGAGATTGGAGCTGCATTTACCTTATTTTAACACAAGCCTCTTTCTTGTACGGCAAGCAGCAGACAAAAATTAGAGCAGTCAGGCTCATTAAAAAAGGGTCAGGGGCGTGTGCTTGCGATCGACTCTGCGGGAGTGTGGGCAGGACGCGGCTCCACTTCGCTCACTACTGCACAGACTCGGGTCCCAAGTTCACTACTGCGCAGACTCTGTTCCCAAATCAGCGCAATATGTCCGCGCCCTATTGGGACATTGGCTGCTTAACTTTTCTTCAATGGAACATTCAGCAAGGCAGGAAAACATGCAATAAACCTGAGAGAAGACGTCTTTCACTATTGTAAGTTAATGTTGTTAAAAAGAGAAGAAAAAAAGGCAAATTTTTAACATTTTAACTTAGTGTATTCTTAAAATTGGACCTCATTATTTAAGCACAAATTTAAGAACCAAAAGCAGCCCATACTCTGAGTCTCTAAGTTCTCTTTGATTAAAAAATATACATTTTCATTCATTCATAGGGTTTATGGTGGCAATAACATTTTTTAGTTCAAAAATTTGCCATTGTTTTTAAAAAATGCTTTATTGACTTGACATTTCAGACCTTCAAATTTTATGCCCTATAGCCATGTATGTAGACTATGTAATTTCACAGTATATCCACTTCCTAAATTACTACACCACTTGTGCAGTCACAATTCTATAATGGTACAAATTACTCAGGTCGATGGTTTGTGTGTAACGCGTGTGCCATTTTTTATTTATTTTTTAATGTATGACATTAAAATTCTTTATAGAGTAATTGTACATAAATAGGTTAAGCAAAAAGTGATTATTTTTGAGAAACTTTTATACATATACTTAAAGGTGCAGTAGGAGATCTTAGAAAATGCTAACTTTAGCCTGATAGCACTGAAAGTGAACGTCCCACCTTCCCTGCAATCCCCATCCAAGGCCACGCCCCCTGAACGCATTTACGCTCACAGACCAGAACACCAGAGACAACATTATAATAGGCTGAGCACATGTTCCATACAAAGGGCATTAAAGTGTGCGACATGTGAATTTAAATAGTATTTATTTACAGAGGTATATTATGTCACACTTCTCTAGTAAGTTTCGTCTGTGTGTGAACACATAGTGATGTAGATATGTGGGGGGGGTGTTAGAACAAGCCGTTTTAGGTAGGCGTGGCTGACTCTTAACTTTTATAAAGAATATCTCTTTGGATTTGAGACTTTAGTCTTTGCAACTTTATCTTCTTTATGCACCAAGAGCTTGTAACACTTCAAAGAGAAAGGAAAAATTTAAATCGCATCATATGACCCCTTTAATGATTGCTATCCGGATGTGAAGAGACTTTCAACCAGCATAACAAAAAATGTTTCTGAAGACAATCACCTATTGCACCTTTAACTGCAGACACGGAAATGACATACACTTGTGGTATAGTACAAATATTTTAGTTTCCCTTATTCTGTCCCTTATTTTCCTATAACGAATCACAATTGTTCCTTATTTTCCCTTTCTGAAGTTGGCAACCCTACCTGTATGTTTGTTGTCCCCTGCATTTCATTCAATGCAACCTTACAACTAAAGCTAAAATAACTTCCTTTGGCACTACACTGTGCCATAACTGAATAAGTGCAGGAAACCTTGTCAGAGTATACAAAGTGTTCTGCTACAAGAATGCAAACGTTCAAAAACAGTTAGCAGAACCAGTGTCATGAAATTAATTTGGTTCCAGTGGAACTGGTTCTCTATTCCTAACACCACTTAATGAACAAGTACTCACTTTGTAAGATCATCAAAAAGAAAAACCCACAAACCTGTGAATCATGTTATGGGAATGAAGGTATGCAAGGCCCTGCAAAGCACCATGGGTAATTGCTGCAATCTCAATTTCCTGAAGGGGCTTCTTGTGAACTAAGCAAAAGCGGTAAAGGTGAATGTTCTTCAAACTGACAATCATTTACAGTTACATTAATGCATTTGATAGAAACTTTCATCCAAAGTGGCACACATTGCATTCAAGGAACTCATTTTTTCAGCTCATGCATTCCCTGTGAATCAAACCCATTACTTGGTGTTGCTAGCGACATGTTCTACTGTTTAAAAATAATACACCTAAATATTAAAGCTATGCTTTGATTATAACTAAAGTTTGAAAATAAAGAAGCAAAACCCATATTTTGGATGTAATACTGATAATGCTTAACAAAAAAAAACTAAATGTTTTGTATCTTACCTTCAAGGAGGTCAGAGGCAGAGCCCAAACAGTACTCCATGACAAGCTGAAGAGGGGAAAAAAATATGAAATGGTTATTGTGTTTATATACTCATTAACATGTTATGCCAAAGAGTGAGAGTGAAAATTAAGAATTTAGAAACGAAAGAGAAAGATCTTACCCATGCTGTGTGTTCCCGCAGGTAGCATCCTTTATACTCTATGCTGTTTGGGTGTTGTATTCTCTGGAGGAACTTGACTTCCTTAATGATATCCTGCCATTTCTAAGTAAAGACAAACAAGCATTAAATCAGCCAGAAAAGATTACAATGAATTCCAATTTTCCACCAGATCACTGCATCCACTACTGATGTGAGCAGACTGGACATACTGACTTACTAGTACAGCTCCCGAAAAGGAAAGTCAGTCTTAAAAGCTTCTGACGGATTCTTTGTAGAGATTACGTGTAATCCGATTACTGCTAATCTGAAATTACAAAGGAAACGCTGCCACCAGCAAAAGTATGAATGGCCGTGGTGCTTCGCTTCAATCTGTGGTGTTACACAAGACTTAATGTGACTTCAGCAATTGACTTTAATTTGCTAAATTTTACTGTGCCAAGTCACTATTTAAGAGCCAAGCCACAGTTGTTTGTGAACGTGAAACAAAGTTAAATCCATGGGACAAGAGTAATATAATAATATAATGCAATCACTGTGCCCACTAGGGCTGTCAAAAAAATGTCGAATTTCGAATATTCGTCGAATTAAAAATAAAAATCCACATTCGAATGCAAAAACGTTGCATTCGAATTTTAGGTGTGCGTTAAGGAGGCAGCCTTATCAGCGGCGCACAAGATGCGATGACGATGTAAGTGTCGTTGCATTATAATGTTTTTGTTAACCTATCCAGTTGAAGCCACTAGATGCGGCGCTGCTGCGTTGTTCATTAAAAATATAGCAGAAAAAGACAACATCAATGCGGAGAAGATCTTGTTTACATCAAAACTGCCTCTTGTGGCCTCAGGAGAGAAGCCAAAAGCTCTTCTTCACCCTGACTAAAATTATGCATTTTAAATTCGAATATAATTCGAATTTTGATAATATTTAAGTACAAAATTCGAATTTAGTTTTTCAGCCATTTTGACAGGCCTAGTGCCCACCCTCAGAAGGAAAAGCTGAATCCACAACTAAACTGTTGCATGACTGTATGTAATGATTGTGGAATGTAGGAAAACTGACCTCATTAGACTGTTTCCCACTGTAGGACATCTTCTTGATGGCCACCACCTCTGCGGTCCGCACATCCCGTGCCTGAGCAAGATTTACATCAGATTTCACAATTTAGTCTCCCAAACCTCTCATTATGTTCTGTAGCATGCATCAAAATTATGAATCCTATTCTACACACTGCAACATTCGATACATACAAAATACACTGCGCCGAAGCTGCCATGACCGATCTCACGGAGGTCTGTGAAGAGCTTCTCAGGATCCTCTCTGAAGAAAAGGTCTGCGATCTCGGGGTCCTTCAGGCTCCCTGCCCGGCTGGTGGAGGGCATGCTGCGAGCCGGAGGACGCACCGCGCTCGCAGGGGACTATCTGGCCGTGCGACTGCGACACGTAAAGCTCCGCCGGTTACTCATCTGCCAGAGGGAGGCAGTGTACACATAGAGACCTGAGGGGGAACAAACAAACAAATATATGACCCTGGACCACAAAACCAGTCATAAAGGTAAATTTTTCTAAATTGAGATTTATACATCATCTGAAAGCTGAATGAATAACCTTTCCATTGATGTATGGTTTGTTATGATAGGACAATATTTGGCCGAGATACGACTATTTGAAAATCTGGAATCTGAGGGTACAAAAAAAATCAAAATATTGAGAAAATCGCCTTTAAAGTTGTCCAAATGAAGTTCTTAGCAATGCATATTACTAATAAAAAATTAACTTTTGATATATTTACAGTAGGAAATTTACAAAATATCTTTATGGAACATGCTCTTTACTTAATGTCCAAATGATTTTTGGCATAAAAGAAAAATCAATAATTTTGACCCATACAATGTATTTTTGGCTATTGCTACAAATATACCCCAGTGACTTAAGACTGGTTTTGTGGTCCAGGGTCACATATGTCGACATATGTAATAGGGCTGTCACTGTATCATAATTTCACTACACTATTATTGTGGGCAAAATAAATCACAATAACAATATTATTGTGATATCCGGCTTTCTGCAGCTTGGAGTGTTCTCGGGTACTTTTTGTTTTTGCGGGAGTGGCCCTTTGTAACTTGAATGTGCAAGGCTTCCAGTGTCATCCGCATCCAATTATTTTTAGCTATACAAATAAGGGTTGGGCCGATAGACAATGCCATCGTCCATCGCTGATGGCTGACAGACATCAGGATGTTAATCACACTATGTAGTGCAATGCATGCTTTCAATTTCCACGCAGTTACTTCAAATAATTATTAAATGTTTTTTTTCTGATTAGGTAATAACATAATATTAACATAACATAATAAAGTTGTTCCGATCACAATACAAATTACATTCAAAACAGTTCAATGAACACAATTTAAACAGTAAAGATTTTATTATGCAAAAAACGTCAAACAAATTATAGGCTAGACGTTTTACACAAACCAAACGAAGCATACAAAAACATCAACAAAATTCTAAATAATTTAAATTAAATAGATAAGAACATGTGGCTTGGATCGTGGGTGTTGGATTATAAATATATTACAATAAAATGTAAATATCCTAATAATAATTAAATTTAATGTTTTAATCCTCTGACGTCTGCTCCGCATCGCTCTTTAGGCCCGGGTATAATTCACTTTCTGCGTTCTGTTCCTTCTCGCGCAGAGCCACATCCGCACAGCATTCAAAGTATACTCAATTGTGGATGAGTGGAGATGGACAAGCTTGACACGTGCAGCATCACCAACTTGACTTGCTCTGTCTCAGCATTCACCTTGCACCTGCGCTATTGTTTGTTATTCTTATAGTTATTAACCTGTAAAAGCTAATGAATCAGAAGTTATAAAATAAGGTGGATACCGCCATCTTCTTTGTTGGAGTGTCAAACAGATTGTTACTGGCACTGTATTATTTACAAAATTATCATGTGTAGCATTTGAGGCTTTGAACTTACAACCTTTCAATTACCTTCCCAGTTCTTTACTTTCCTTTTACAAACTTGTAGGTGGAGCACAGAGTTGCCAATGTAAAATGAGCTAGATGGGTGTCTGTGGTTCCTGAACAGGAACAGACCAAGAGGCCATAGAAACTGTTTTACCAGATACTGATTCTACACAATGACCTAACCTTTGTTTACAGGCTGTAAATAAAGTAATGTAAGTAAGTATGACAGCTGGTGAGCTCCCAGCTTTCACATTGACCTGCTCTGCTGCATTCTTATTACCTCGTCAGGCTCATTCAGGTTGGGAGGGAACTGAAGCAATGGGTTGAATAATAGTCAAACTCTGGGCGTATTCACAAACCATTAGAGCTGATTAGTTACCCCTTTTCCATTCAAATGGAATTTCCACTGACTTGAGAGCCAAAGCGATGACATAACTGACTATGTTCCTACATAACACTTGTGCCATGTTTATCTGTATGACTAGGGAGGTTATAAGTCTTTATGCCATGAAAAAGCTGATTTTGATGCAAGTCAGACATTAATAATAAATAATATGCAGCATTTAATTCAGCAATAAAGTGGCTGGAGCTACTGGGTACTGTGTTGCATCATTTCCATTTCCATATTTCCGGTCCAAGCAGCCTTGATTATAATAAGAAAGATCTAGTTTTGCCTTGTGTCAGTTGTTGTTACGTTAAAAACTTTACTTGGTGTTGACTAGGGATGGGCATTCCAAGCAAAGGAATTTTAGGTGCGTTATTGGCAGCGCCACCCCCTGCTTACATGAACGCGCCACCCCCGCATCAGCACGGAAAAAATGGGGAGATTTTTTAAGACAATAATCGCACAACTTATTCAATATTCTATAATTAAATCAACTAGAGGTGCTCAGATCACTAGATTTGTACATTTTCTGAAGACAACGTTGGGGGCCGATCCTACAGAACATGTTTTTGAATTCCAATGCACTGCTTTTCTATTGTTTTCAGCATTTTAAAAACACAGCGCAGTTTATTTAAAAAAGTGTCTCTAGATCTTTCAGTTTTTTCATTCTACTGTCCTGCCTCTCACATTTTTAAACACAAAAACATTCAGTGTGAATGCCCCTTAATACTGGAATACACTACACTACATTTGATCAGATTTTATCCCTGATTTGAAATCTGGAGGAATTGACGCTAGTTGCCAAAGTCAGAGCCAGTCTGCAGATTTTGGGTAGTCAGGAGTTGACAGATTTCAGATTAAAAATCACGTAAAGTATGATAGGCACAGACTTTTTTAGCTTTAGACTGATTCCATCCAGTCAGCGGAGATCAAACATGTTTAAAAATTTCTGAACTTATTTTTAATTTGTCATGCGTCTCCTTGAGTTTGTTGTTTTCGGAATTATTTGAAAGTCTGGTGATGTGTAAACCTCACTCATTTAGTGTATGATGCCCTGTTTGTCTCTGTAACCATTTGCTAAGTCATTAAGTGTGTAATACCTAGTATTTTAAAATCTGTTCAGATTTTATAAGTCGTGTACTGTAATCATTAATTGTGCTTGCCCATACAAAAGTAATTGCCACAATTCCAGGGTGTTGTTGTGGGTGGTTGCAAGGCCCAGAGCATTGCTATACAGTTTCTAAGGTATTCTAAATGGCTTTTATGTGGTTGGTAGGGTGGTCTTCGAAGTTGTTTGCTGGCAGTCAAAAGAGGATACCCTCTGTAGACATTCTCGTCCCAAGATACAGACCCCTCTTTTTAGTGCAAGTCTATAGGATTTTCAAATTATCAAAGTTTGGGTGGTTTGGGTCATCCCACAAATTAGAATTAACCTCATAAGAGAAAGTACTTCAACGTAAAAACTAGGGATGTCAATTTTCGATCATTTTCATGATCGATCGCCGTTTAAATTAACGATCAATTAATCCATTAATCGTTAACCTTAATACTGCAAAATGCGTCTATTGCAGTGGCATATAGTCACCGGCATGACATTAGTGCTGGTCCGAATCCCCTTTTTTGAGCTTCGGAGGGAGGGGGCTGAACATATTCTTCTCTCTAATAAAGGCAGGAATCTCTGTGTGTCTGTCTGGCTGTTTGCATTTTTTATTATGTCGAGAATAGGGTTGTGACGGTGAGGAAATTTTCCCACCGGTTAATCGACGTGTGACAACACGGATAATACCGGTATCACCGTGGGGGCAGGGGCGTTCCCTCTTTTCTTTGCTTTCCTTTGCTTTTAAATAGCTTGTAAAAGCGGCGTGCGCATTTTACTT